TTCATTATAGTATAGGAGACCTTGCTTTATAATCAATTTATTAATTATTAATAATACATTTTATTCAAGAGATCACCTATATTGTAAGAGATCCGAAAAACGTGTAAAAATTAAAATCAAGTTGGAAGTTTCTAGAATTTAAAATCGAACTAAAATTTCAACTAAAGTCGATTTCTGACATTTAAAATATATATATTCGTGACTTTATGCTCGTGTAATTTACTCATAAGAATTTATAAGGACATGATCGACCACTTATCCAAATTCAGTAAGCCGATTTTCCGCAGTACATTTAAAGATTTAATTCCGAGGATCTGATTGGATCTTTGAACTTATTACATAAATTAGGATAGTTTAACGGACCAATATTATATAATTTCAACATTCCTTATTTAGAGTGACTAAACCGAAGCAGGTTTTGAAAATGGGTTATTTAACATTAGGATTAGGCCAATCATGGGTTATAACTAGCACGTGTAGGTAAACCCTCGACGTTTGTTATTAACACTCCAAGATGAGTTCAGATAACTTGTATTTTTTTTATCGGGATGACCAGGTTGATAAAAATTACTCAATTTGATTGGTCACTCCGCTTTAGCCTGCCTCCTTATTTGGAAGTAATTAAATAATTAAAAATTAGGATCAGAGGTTTTAAGGTTAGACTTTCTAGTCCAAGGTAAGATTAGACTCGGTATTCTTGATTTTTTTAAAATTTTTTCCTAGTAAAATTAAAAACTCAATTGGTTAAGTCAGAACTTCTTAATCAAGAAGTTGTATAGTATATATGTGTAATTGTATTTCCTGTATTTTGTAAATTTTAAGTTACCATGATTCGTTTATGGCTCTGATCAATTCACTTTAAAGGCATCGTAGAGTTTTAAATGATCAAGAACTAACTTAAAAACAAAACCATTTAAAAACTTGGTCCGAGTATTTACCAACAATTGCTCTAATTATTTTCTTATTATCTCACACTAATTTCTGCTATTCCCAACCTACATAGAATATTCTACATTAACATAGTTGGATCTTCAGAAAGAATTCGAGATTTTCGTAAATTCGTTTTATTATCTAACTTAGTAGTATTATTAAAACTGCGAAAAATCTTGGGTTTGGTTACGTACGCACCCTAAAATCAAATTATATCTAGCACCCTGAAATAAAATTATGTATATTATATGCAATTGTTAAAAAATTCCCCGGGGATTAAATATCTAAATGAACAAGGATTCGCGAAATCTCGTCGATTAAATTAACTCAAAATGGAAATTAGACCGATAAAATTTCATTGTAATATCGGTGAATATATGAACCGAAATTACCGAAACTATTGCTTTATACGTAATTTAATGCCACGAACGAATTGTTTTCATTCGTAATTTTATATCCATTTTATATTATATGGCATGTAATGTAACAAAATCGATTTCGCAAATACATATAAATCACAAAAAATTACTGTGTACTTTATTTTTTCATTGTTACAAAAAGAACCATCAATTTTTTTTGATAAGATTTTGATGCTTCATCGCATTAAACATACATTCATTTATTAACTTACGTGCGTGTCACTACTATAGTTTCTTATTCAATCGAACTTCTTCCCTTCATCTAATGCATCCATCAAACGAAAATAATCAAACATCAACATCTGAAAATGAAAATAATCAAGTATCGACATCTGAAAATGAAAATAATCAAACATCGACATCTGAACATGACAATAATCAAACATCAACGTCCGACACAGTAGTCTTTCTCCCGGCAATACAAACGTCACAACTCATTGCCGAAAACGAAAATGATCATACATTAACACCCGACACTGCAAATTCTGACATTCCAGTCTTACGTCGAGCCCAACTTAGAAACGAAAACGAAAATATTCGAATGCCTGCTCGTGATAGGATAGTTTCAGATACCTTTCCAATATCACGTATATCGAATATTATGAATGAAAGTTTGGCTTCTAGTTCGTCTTCTTCTAGAACAATATATTCAGAACCTCGTTCACCTCGCTCATCACTAAATGCTCAACTGGATGCATTGGTATATAATGCAATAATTAAAGACGATGTTCAATCTCTCGCAAAGGTTTTAGATGAATATCCCGATTATGATTTAAGTCGTCTTATTAATCCTACTTCTTCAGAAAATAATGAGTCTAATAAAACTCAAGATAGTCCTAAGACTCCTTTAATGATTGCTGCTTCTCTAGACTGTCAAATGACTGTAAATTATTTGTTGAAGTCGAATATTGAAGTTGATATGCAAGGTAACCATTTATGTCTATTTCAAAACCTGTTTTTTTTTTTTTAAAAAAAAAAAATCTAAATGGTTTTTTCTTTCTTTTTCTTAAAAGACGAATCTGGTGAAACCGCTTTATTTCAAGCTGCTGCAGCAGGAAATGCTGATGTGGCAAAAATTCTGATAAAATATGATGCATCGGTTAATCTATCAAACAATAACAGTGTATCCCCACTTATGATAGCTGCGTATCATGGACATTCTTATGTTTGTAGGATGTTATTAGATCGTGGACGTGCAAACATTAATCAAAAAGATATGACTGAAAAAACTGCTATCGCATATGCTGCTCACAATGGGCACGGCCTTGCTGTGGAAACTCTTTTAACCAGAGGTGCTAATATTGATATTGTTGATATGGTAATGAATTTTTTTTTTTTTTAATTTGTTGAAAAAAAAAATATATATACATATATATCAAAATATTAAATTGTATAAAATTTTTTTTTTCCTTTTTTTTTTTTTTATTAATAACAGTACCATTGGTCACCTTTAATGTTAGCGGCGTATAAAGGGCGAGCAAATATAGTCCGTCAGTTACTTTTAGCAAATGCTGATAAGGATTTAAAGACCGCTAATGGAAAAACTGCTGCTCAGCTTGCACGTGATGGTGGCTACCTACATGTTTCTGATATGATAGAAAATTTTATTATGCCTGATGATAGTTATAATGCTCATGATTCAAGAATTTTATCTGATTCAATTATTGAAAAAGGTGATTTTAAAAGAAGAAGTGTTCAAATATCTGCTCGACTTGCCCCAGGAAGGTCTAACTTGAGAGACTTTTCTATTAATAGTAGTCGACAAATAGGTACCCTTTCAAGATTATCCATGGAAATGACTCCAAGGAAAGAAAATACTTGGTGGGTTTACCTATCATGGATATTATCTTTTGTATTCTTTGATAAATTGTTAGCCAAATTTGGAGGAATGGATAATCCACAATTACGACAAGCTTGGAGAGAAAAATTTGCACTATGTGTTCTTGTAGCTTTAGCATCTACATTTGCTGCTTTATTGACATTTGGTTTCATAGGATTAAGTTGTACTGATCCATTACCTGTTCCAAATTCAGTTGTCAGTGAACTTTGGAGTAATTCAACAAATTCAAATGCAGATTTAGTTATGATACTGCGTGGAAAAATTTATAAAACTGGTGATTATTTTAAATCCGGACTTCATCGTCCAATCTTACCAGAAACTGATGACACATTACTTGGAATTATTAATCCATTATTTGGAAAAGATATTTCTCAATTTTTTCCATTGGACAATGATGCTATTGGTTGTAGATTTCGTCCCGCTAATTTTAATTCAACAGATTTATGTCCTTCGTTGCCGGGTGATTCAAGATATCATTGCCATACTTCAAAAATTTCCATGCGTACTTTAGAATCTTTATCAACTAATCGTTATGTTGGCTTTTCATGGGATGAGATAGCTTCAAATACTAGCAACAGAAAATTATTAGTAAATAGAAATTATGTATATGATTTCACATCATATCTTGATCCATCAAACATTGATCTATGGTTAGGTGATGATAAAAATCTTACACGAGCATGGATAGAAAGTCTGATTGGACGTGATGCGACTTTAGATATAACTCGAACATCTCAAAATGATGTGGCGAAATGTTTCGACAACTTTTTAGTAGGAAAAGTTGAAGGAATTCCATATGGTTGTGCAACAATGACATTAGCTATTATAGTAGTGACTACGATATCCACATTTTATGCATTATTAAAGTTAACATCAGCATTTGTTTATGATCTCTACATTTCAAAAAAACTCGGTGCTCCCAAAACGATTTCACAAGATAACCAAAAATATATGATAATAACAATTCCTTGTTATAGTGAAGGTCGAGAATCTTTAAAAAATAGTTTTGATTCATTGGCTGCTTCTGATTATTCAGATCAACATAAGTTGTTTTTCATAGTTGCTGATGGAAATATTACAGGAAGTGGTGAAACAGAATCTACACCTAATATTTTAAAAAGTCTTATCGTACCACTTGATGATCCAGTTCCAAACCCGGCAAGTTATTTAGCAATTGGCCCAGGTCCAAAACGCCATAACATGGCACAAGTTTATTCTGGTCATTACCATTATGAAAATCGCCGAATTCCTACCATCCTTGTAATAAAATGTGGGACACCTGCAGAAAAAGATTTACCTAAAGCTGGAAATCGTGGTAAACGTGATACACAATTGGTATTGATGAATTTATTAAAACATGCATTTCACAATGAACCAATGTGTGAATTAGAATTTGAAATGTTCGAGAAAGTTAGACAACTAACAGGAGTAACGGTGGATCAATATCAATTAGTGTGTATGATTGATGCCGATACTATTATTGAAGAAAAAAGTTTAAATAGAATGGTGGAATGTATAAATCGGGAACCTAGTATTACTGGAATTTGTGGAGAAACTCAAGTTTTGAATAAAACTGAAAACTGGGTCACTATGATTCAGGTTTGTAGGATTAATTTATTAATGTTAAAATTGACGTTAAATTATGATAAGAGAAATTGATTTTGATACTTTAATAATTCACAAATAGGTCTTTGAATATTATATATCACATCATCTTGGAAAAGCTTTTGAGTCTATATTCGCATGTGTGACTTGTCTCCCTGGTTGTTTCTGCATGTACCAAGTCTATTCTCATAATGAAGAAGGTTACAAGATTCCAATCCTGATCGACGACGCCATAATGACTAATTATACAACAAATGAGGTTGATACGTTACATCAAAAAAATCTCTTACTCCTTGGCGAAGATCGTTACTTAACTACTTTAATGCTTCGCGCATTTCCACATCTGAAAACTATGTATTGTTCAAAAGCCATCTGCCAAACTATAGTTCCCAATACATTCTCCGTATTAGTTTCACAACGTCGTCGTTGGATCAACGGTACAATCCACACTTTAATGGAACTAGTAGCATCTCCTGAATTACCAGGAAGATTTTGTTTTTCAATGCAATGCGCGTCATTTCTTGATTTATTTGGATCAGTGACGTCACCGTTTGCTTTCATGTTCACAATATACCTTGTTATTGGATTATTGCTTGGTCAACCATATCAACTACAAGTTGCCAATGCTGCGGTAACTTATTTTATTCAGCTTGTGTTGATAATATTTGCAGGTCTTGACCCGATAAATGCTGTATGGTTTCTGGTTTATTTAACATCTGTACCGGTTTGGAGTGTTATTTTGCCTCTATATTCATTTTGGAATTTTGATGGTAATATATATACATACATTTTTTTTTTTAACGTTGTTAGTTACATGCATCTATTCACTTATTCATCACGATTATTTATTTTTTTTTTTCTAGACTTTACTTGGGGTGCAACACGAAAAATTGAAGGTGCAAATCCTGGCCACGATAATGAACAAACATTTGACAAATTTGACCCTAAAAAAATCGTATTTAGGAAATGGGATGAATGGGTACTTTATAGAAACTCTAGAAAAAAATCGCTTCGTAAAATAATAGAATAATGGTTAAATGAAAGCTAATATGCAATATAAGGTGGGCTTACAAGAACTTGTCTGCAGGCACCAATATATTGACCTCCTATATTGCATATTAACCAAAAAAATTAGGGCTTAAATTATTATGGGTTTTCAAAAAAAAAATATTCAATTAATATTCAATTAAAAATGTAAATATTTTTATCACTAAAAATAAAAAATAAATTAAATAAAATAAAATATCGATATGATATTAGTTGAACCACTGACTTTATAAAAATCGGCTTAACCGGTTAAATATTGAAATCAGGTGATTTATCATTTACCAGTGTCCAGCAGCCCATAGCGATAGTTAAAATTTTCATGTTAAAATACAATTTTTTCAGCATTTCTAATTATAATTCACCATACTTATTCACTTTCATACTAATCATTTCTTCTAAAGTACTAGAGAATTATATAGTTTTGGTTTTTTTTATGACGATTCATTTGTTCTGTTGTGAGGTTTTATGACAAAAAAAGTTCTGTAAGATCTGATGACACTATGATATAAAAAAAATTAAATTAGGAGTAAATGATTTCTTATATAAGGTTTTTAATAATTACG